AGCACTCTTTAAGTACACTGATGATCAGTGCGGCTTCAAGTATACTAAAGTATACTTAGATTTAGTATACTTGGTATAATATTTTTTCACCTGGGCTGGATTAAACTATACCCTGGATTAAACTATACTCTGGATTAAAGTACATCTTTCTCTCAAGCAAGTCTGAAAATAGAGCTTCACAAACATTTCCATTCCCTTTAGATAATAACAACTTTATATATTTATAGTGACAATATAGTTTAGATTTTTCTTATTTGTCTGTAATATTAAAATAAGAAAGTCTTTTCTTCAGCTGACCAGCTTGCTTGACTGCAGTTAAAACTCTCAGCTTGTCACCGCTCTATATGGTTTTATTAGGCACTCATATATATTCACCTTGCTATTTATAGCTGTGTTAGTTAGCTGTTARCGGATTTAAAGCTGGCAAAACCTAATTTAGCAGAAACTAATTGGTTTGCTATTGGTTTTCAAAGTTAATAAAAAAGCTAAGTTGCTAAACAAAAAASTTGTTCCACTATTTGCTGTTAGCTGAAGCATGCCCACCACTGCCAGCTACACACTGAACACAGAACAACCCCTCTACACTTTATATAGCAAATTCAAGATTTGCACATCAGCATCATTATCCTTTCACATCAGCTTGTTTGAATGGACAAAGAGGAAGGTGAAACACTGCTGAAGTTGTTCCTGTAATTCTGTTWCAGCTGCAACAGCCCACGTTTCTCCCACAGTGGACCCTCTCCTGGCTGGCCTGGTGTCTGCCCTCATTGTCGCTGCTGTTATCATCGCTTTGCTCCTCTTCCTCAAGCTGCGCAGGAGAGACAGCAGACCGGCGTTCCGCAGGCTGCAGGAACTTCCCATGGTGAGCATTTTCACCACATCCAGGTAGCACTCCATCTGTCAGGAGAGATGCTACGTCAGTCGCTAAATCTATTTATGCAGTTCTCGTTTACAGTACACAGTTTTTAATGACACCTCTTATATCTGATTAGAAAATGTCTGACAGTTGAGCACTAACAAGAATATGAATGGGGGAAAAAAAAAAGCCATAATAGTAATGTTTTTGCATTTTTCCTGCACAGGATGACATGATGGAGGACACGCCCCTGTCCACGTACACCTATTGATGGAACTCCAACAGAACTTTTGATCCTCTCCAGTCCAGTGTTAAATCATAGTGGTTGTTAAAACTGGTCTATGCTTTTTAAAATTGCACCTAAAAAAACTGGGTCAGYGTTAAGGTCTCCACATACTCCATCCAAWGCCAAACAGACGACGCGCCGACGTGTTTGTTCGGTGTTTGTTTTCGCACACACCTTTCATGAGACACACAATGCTTGGCTCCTGGAAACCCCTCCTGCTGTGGTATGAGGTGATTTTCGTCGTGCCACTGCAACAGTGAGAACTGAGTTTGGCAGTTGATGTGGAGCATGCTGAGGCCTTTAGTCTGAGCTGCTTCTATTTACCCACATTACTGGCACAAAGGGAAAGAGCCTGTGAACAATGAAGACCTGCTGAATGATGGATCTCGTTGGAAAAAGTTTGTTTTGGTGTGTTTAGTGTGCAAGTACAGTTTAGGCAAAGAAAAGAGATACAGTTGTGTTGATCAGTGTTGCAGTTTGCACTGACCCAGACTTTTTAAACTCACATGTTGGGGAGTTGGTTTAATTACCAGTTTAATTCTGTCAGAAACGTTGACTGAAATGTCTGACGAGAAGAAAACAAATATTTGATTTTAGATCAAAAAGAAAAAATCAGTAGGTCCTCTGGATGGTTCTTCTTTAGTGAAACGTTTCTTCTCTCCTCCAAGACACTTCTTCAGTCTGGTCACCTGAGTTCACCTGAGTTTCAGGTGAACTCAGCCTTATAAGCACTGCCTCCACATGGACAAACAGGTTAGTCACATGCAAAAGAGGGCCATCACCTAACAATAGGCTTGATTAGCTCTATTGTTCATAGAGGGTCATGTGCCCCATCACCTGACGTATTGGTTTGGATGCTTCGGCTGCGGTTCTTAGGTGTCGTGTCATGTGTATGTAGTGAATGCAGGCGGGGCTCAACGTCCTTGTTTTTGTTTTTTCTTCGAACCACAGCATCCAAACCAATACGTCAGGTGATGGGGCACATGACCCTCTATGAACAGTAAAGCTCATCAAGCCTATTGTTAGGTGATGGCCCTCTTTTGCATGTGACTAACCTGTTTGTCCATGTGGAGGCAGTGCTTATAAGGCTGAGTTCACCTGAAACTCATCAGACTGAAGAAGTCTCTTGGAGGAGAGACGAAACGTTTCACTAAAGAAGAACCCATCCAGAGGACCTACTGATTTTTCTTTTTGATTTTTTTCTACCTGAGTTACTGAGATTCATCAGGACATTTGATTTTAGAATTAACATGTTTGCACTTTACTCTTTCAGGGGAAAGTAAGAAGGAAAAAAAAAGAAAATATTTAAAAAAAACTTTTGGAAGATTGTAATTTTGCTTGCCTATGTTATCAATGTTTAATTGTTAGTGTGTGTTTGTGTGTGTGAGTGTTAAGGCTGTATGTGTGCTGTATTGTAGGCATGACTGAGACTTTGCATAAGACCATTCCAGGAAAGAGTGCCTTACAAATATCATAAACAGCTCTAATTAAATTCTGTTTTTAGAAGTTGGATGAACAAAACAGTCATTCCCAGAACTTTTTGATTTCCAGTTAAACACACAGTCAAAGCCAGAAACCTGCACAGGCTTGTCAGCATTAAATTTAACTATGAGGCACTCCTTGATTTAACCAGAGCTGCAAACTGAAGTGGGCCAAAGGCCTTCCCAGAAAGTGCTGTCATGGCTCTGCATTGTAAATACTACTGATGGAAAACTTCTTAAAGGGAACCCTGATTAGTTGTAACATTAGACTTTATTTGATAAACATATATTTTAACTGTAAAATAAWGACTGTAAAAATACTGTAGGCTGTTTAGTTTTGTAAATTTTTAAAAATATATTTTGACACGGACAGAACCATTTTATTTACACACAAAGCATTCTGGGTAAATGATGACGTGGATAGGTCCTCGGTGCGAGGCTGCTAGCGAGCTATATCCACCCTGAAGGTTAATCTTGGACAATATCTGATGATCGACTCTTTTAAATGAAACCAGAGAGCGTTGACAGAGAGGAGAAGGTAGAAATGACTCAGCCTGGAACTGAAAATATGGATGGAGGACAACAGAGCTGCTTCATGGAAGAACAACCTCAGCTTAGCCTGTTAGCCTTTGTGCTAGCGCCGACGCTATATTGCCTTATATGTATTAGCTCGGTGCTAGCGCGACAAACAAGCTAAACTGAGGTCCTCCATCCATATTTTCAGTTGCAGACTGTCATTTTTGTGTTCCTCTCTCTGTCATGTGGATGGAGGACCTCAGTGACGAGAGGAGAATGTGTAGCGCTGAGCTAATACATATATATGGTGATAGCATCGGGGCTAACGCTAAAGCTAACAGGCTAAGCTGAGGTTGTTCTTCCATGAAGCAGCTCTGTTGTCCTCCATCCATATTTTCAGTTCCAGGCTGAGTCATTTCTACCTTCTCCTCTCTGTCAGCGCTCTCTGGTTTCATTTAAAAGAGTCGATCATCAGATATTGTCCAAGATTAACCTTCAGGGTGGATATAGCTCGCTAGCAGCCTCGCACCGAGGACCTATCCACGTCATCATTTACCCAGAATGCTTTGTGTGGAAATAAAATGGCCCCGTCCGTGTAATACATTTTAAACTTTTAGTTTAAAAATGATAAAAACTTACCTTCTACAGTATTTTTACAGTCTTTATTTTACAGTTAAAATATATGTTTATCAAATAAAGTCTAATGTTACAACTAATCATGAATCCCTTTAATGAAATGGCTCGTGTGGTTGTTGCTGTAGCATTTACCACATGCACATGTTTGGCTGTATAGATGTGGAAACGCCTTCATTAAATATTCTTTATTAGCTTCTTTGTTTGCTTACTCCGCAAAAATACTGAAAGAAAAGTAAATCACAACTAAACTTAGTGACTGAACTTACTCTGATGTTTAACTTTTATAACTTAAACTACTGATTAAACGATAAAATCACCACAAAATTTATAGACGCTATCTGAGCAGACAAACACCTTTCGTACAAATTGTAAATAAATGCAAGACTTTTATCCAAATTTTACCACCTTCTTTGGTTTCTTGMTGACTCTGAAGGACAGTTGATGTTTCATTTGTTGGTGTGTTTTAAACACTAAAATGATGCAGAGCTTTGCAGCTGTACTGCAGCACAATACTTGGCCAATGCCACACATTTATAAGGTCTTGTTCATTAGCAATGATTTTAAATATAAAAATGTTTTTCTGTCAACACAACAATTACAATAATACAAGAACAGTGTATAGGTTATTTTTTATATTTATACAGTAGACTTCAATTGATATGTGTTTTTCAATGGCCGATAGAGATGTTGATTTACAAGTTGGAATAGCAGACATATACTAGACTTTTGTTTGTTTGCAGCTGACTGATACATTTAGTTGCAATAAGTTATTTGATGCTTGTGTGAGGATGTATAAGCAGGAATTTTAGCCCAACATCTCAAGTGCAGACTCTGATTCCAAAAATACAAAATGATACAAACTTTAAGAAACATATTATGGATTTAGTGCAAAAAAAGTATAAGATGCATCATTTATTATGTAGTCTTTGTTACTGTAACTGGGCTTCTTGCAGATGGACCAGCCAGTTGGAGGACTGGAAAATTGCAGGAGCCTTAATGGTATTGCTCTCTGCTGAAACCACATCTCACAGGATTCGTTCTGCACAGAACAAGTTATCATGGGATGATAAAATACCCATTAAAAATCCATTATCTCTCACACTGAAAGATGCACCATTGACATTGCTGAAGTCATGATCCTTGAAACTTTAACGCCCTGTGTTGTCTTTTGGGGGGAAATCAGCCACGCATTTATTTTGTCTTCATTTATTTTGATGCAGTCAATAAACACATTGCTTTTTGAAAAAACATTAAAATCATTCTTTTTTTTTTATAAATTGTCTGACTTTTTCCTCATAGCCTACTACGTTCATTTTTCCTTTAGGGGGATTTTTTTTTGGCCACATTCAAGGGTGTAGGAATGAGTTTACTATTGGAGGGTTCACATAATATTGGAAACCTCCATAATATTGGAGATGCATGCCAACACTTTTTTACCATTATTTCATCATTTGCTTAATTTATGTATTGTGCAGTCTATTTTCCGTGATGCCTGGAAGTTTGACCAGATTACTCCCATTTTTAAATCTGGTGATCCAACAGAAGTTTCAAACTATTGGCCAATTTCTGTTCTTCCTATTTTTTCTAAGTTAGTTGAAAAAACATTATTTAATCAACTACTTCAGCATCTAGAAGCTAATAATATGCTAAGCAATAGGTTTTCGCACATCAAGGTCAACCATGTCTGCATTAATTTTATTCACTGAACAAATATGTGC